TAAATTTTAAACAATAAATCTTATAAAAATAAGTTTATATTTACAACACTATATATTTGTATGGTCCTTGATGTGAGTTTTTAATTTTGGCATATTACTAGGTCTTTCATTACACTTGTGGCACTTTAATGGATAAGATAAAAAACTTTCATAATGCAGCTTGTTAATTATGATTTTTCCTGCTATGCTTAGTTCCTTGAGTATTTCACAAGCTGGTCTAAAAAACTCTGTTGTAAATGAATTCCAATGTTTTTTATTTTTCATATAAATTGATTCAAAATCACAACTAATAACATGCATATGCAGCATATTCATACTTGGGATAGCATGAAAACCTGTTTGAAACTCACAACTTTCTTTTTTATTCTTTTTAATTAGGGCTTCTCCTACATATATCATATGCTTCACTAATTCTATATCCTTTAAAGTTAAAGCTTCAATTGATGGTATATACTTTGATACAACTAGGTAATGATGCTTAGCTTTGGGAAATTTATCTTTTAAAACAAATAAATTATCAGTCTCTTCAATAATAAACTTTTTATCAGATAAAGATTTAATCAACCCATTTTTCCAACAATTATTGCTATTTGCTGACGCTTTTAAATGTGTGGATGAAGTATTAGCAGTACTAGTAACATTATTAAACATCTGTTTTGACAAATAATATTTTATGTTACTAGAAAATAATTTTTAAATGTTATATCAAAAAGCTATTATTTAATTTCTTAAATTATAATACTTAATTTATTTAAAAAAAAAAAAAAAAAGCACATAAAATGTGTATTTTTGATAAATTTTTGCATAATTCGTTTGCATTGTACATAAATACCGGTACAATACAATTATATAATTCATGATATAATATAAATGTTATTTTATATAAAATATATATACTTATATAGCATCACTTTATACTAACTTGTTTAGGTATTGAATTATTATTATTGGCTAAATAATTGAACATTAAGCCAATGTTTTAATGTTTAATCAAAGTTTTACAAGTTTATTTTTGAAGAATTTTTGCGAGAAAAAAAAAAACGTTTTTTATAGTAGTATCTATATAGTTGTTGATACGTAAATTATGTATAAAACTAAGTTTAAAGTTCAGTCACACAAAATAAAGTAAAGTGATTTAGTGATAAAGATAAACAAATATAACATTATTTTAGGATTCGGTAAATTATACATTTTAGTAATCGAAATATATTTAAAACATAAATCAAAAGTATATCATAATTACCGGTTTCCGTTTAAGTGTATAGCTCGCGAGGTCAGATCCCAAAAATAATGTTCAAACAATGACATTATTGTTTATTCATCTTTATTCATTATTAGCTTTTCACTCAATATTTTGATTTTTGAAATACTTATTTGAGGATAGTACAAAACCGGCTATATTATATTATTATTATAAGCTTTTGAAATAATAATTCCGAAAAAATTTCCTGAATTGATTCTGTCTGTTTACTTGCACTGATGATATTATGAATATTTTGATGCGCTAAATTATACCATGAACAATCTCAGCCATCTTCAAGTAGGTAGCTATTATTTTGTCTGAAATTTGTAAATGTGTACGTTTAGCAAGACCGTACTCTAAGACTTTAATGTGTATAGGCCACATAAAATATTTTCCTAATGGCTGATAACAATGGAATCACCCCTGCAACGCGCTATTATTTATTGTTGGTGCCAAATGCATACTTTGCAATTTAAGTAATTATCAAGTTGTGATCATTTTAGTCTTTGTAGTATATTCTAGCGGCGAATTAAAAACTTTGACTCAAAATAACGTCTTTGCAGAAAAAAAGAAAAAGTTTGAAATGTTGTTTGTAGGCTTTGAAAGTTGCAATTTAAGTGGGCTTCTTGAAGAAGTTGACTGAATAAGTTTTGAACAACTGTTTGAACTAATCAAGAAATAATCACCAAAAAAATTAAGATTTAGGTAAAGTATTCGGGTTTTTTAATATAATATATTACACTTTTTTTTTTTGTTATATTTATAGTAACAAAAAATTGAAGTTATCTGTATACCCATTTAAATAGGGTGTAAACTAATGCTACACTAAATCACACCGGAATTCGAAAAACCAGTAAATTTAGCATATCATAAAGTCCAGTAGATTTAGCATATCATCTTGCACAATTACGTTGGGTCAACATAAGCAAAACAATGGTGGACGTCGATTGTTTTTCAGATGCAAATCCAACGTTGATCCAATAGTTTTTGAATATAAGGAATTTGTTCTTATGACAACATTTGGAAAACAGTTGTTTTTTATTGTTAAATAACTCTTTTGCATTTTTGCACAACAAAGTTATTACTTTTTTGTATAAGCATAACAGACTTTTTTCAATGTTATTATATATGGGAGCGCTTTTTATGATTGAACTTGTAAATTTGATGTTGTTTTTAAGTTTTCTTTTGTATCCCTAAGTATTTTGAGTGCATAGCTGCATTTAAGAGTTTTTTGAATGACTACTTGTGAATCGCCATTTGTAAATTACATCTGTTTGGTTTTCTCAGAATAATAGCAAGAAGCATTATCAGGCCAGAACCAGAAAGGGACATCTTATCTTGAAATAGTTTGAAAGCATTCCTTGATATATGTAAACATCCGAGTTTAAAGTTGGCAATGTGTCAAAAGCTCGACTTCTCAAAGCGCAGCTTGCCACAAGTTTCTTAACAAATTTAAAGTTAAACTTATTGCTGACACCGTCCACAAACAATTGAAGTGTAAAATTTTGGACCTGAGAGCTGTTTTAAGTTCCATTTGATGTACGTTTCGTCATTTATAATTATGCAGCCATTAAACATAAGCACTTTGTCATAAAGTTTTCGAGCTCGTGTTTTAGCAGTCAGTGTGTGTATGTATATATATATATATATATATATATATATATATATATATATATATATATATATATATATATATATATATATATATATATATATATATATATATATATATATATATATATATATATATATATAATTTTTTTTTTTTGAGTTCAAAATTATTTTTAAGTTATAAAGTGTAGTTTTATATTGTTTTCTAACATCCTTTAACGTAAATATGTATTTTGAAAAAAATAAAAAAATTGGCCAAAATTGGACATATTCCTTTCATAAGTCATAGATTATGACGATTTTGATTTTCAACCGACAACTTTTGATGTTTATATTTAATTTTCTAACATATTGAATTGCCAAACTATTGTATTTTCGACCTACTGAATTTTCAAACTACTGTACTTTCGACCGACTTATTTTTCCATCGACTTTATAACTACGTCTTAAAAAAAAACCTTAAAAATGCAAAGAAAAAACGAAAAAAAAAACAGGCTAGAAAGTTGAAAGAAATATCGCCTAAAATCGGTTAAAAGTTAGTTTATCTAAAATTGGTCGAAAGATAAATAGGTCGAAAATGAAAACGTAAATTGGTAGAAAATAAAAAATATTATATTTGGTTGAAAATAATTTAGGTCTCAGTAAGACATCTAAAAGTTAGTTCCACTTTATAGTAGATGTTCTTTTTTGTAGAATAAATTAGTATATTGAGGTTATTTAGATCTAACTATCTGACAAGCTTAATGCAACCTAATTTTTGTTACTTAGTCACTGAAAAACATGCAGAACAAAAACTAATTTCGGAAAGTTCAAAAATTCTAAAAAGATTTGATGTTCTTTTAATAACAAAGTTTGAGAATCGTTAACATTTTTTTAATTTATATTTTAGGTGCCCTAAGAAGACCTAACGATCTTATCAAATCTGAAAAAGACTTTACTTTCCATAGAGTTCACTTCGAACCTTGGATCTCTTGCTTTTAAAGCAAGCGCTCTAACACCTGCTTAATTTTATAAAAGCTTTTGAATAACTATTTAAAAAACATGTATTTATAATCTAAATTAATTTTTTTCTTTTTCAGACTGTTATTAGGATGCAAAAATATTTTATAAACATAGAATAAGTGGATGAATTTAAACAGGTGGGCGCAGGGTGGTGGTGGCAAACACTGAAAAGCAATTTAAATCCTTTGCTAGTAATCGTCATCAAAAAAAATTTTTTTTTTTTTATCCTTATGGTAAAATATGAACTCCTAAACATATGCCAGTATGTTTATGGCTCAACTTTTTTTTAAAATAGCCATGAAATAAGCAGTTAAATCTTTTCCAGTCATCTCCACACCCACTTGCTAGTAGTGGTCTACATAGAAAGTTGACGTTTTAATTTTTTATAAACCATTGCACTACATTTTTTTGCCTTTTTCAAAATAATTATAGAAAAAGTTAAAACATATAGTTGAATAATTATAATGGAACGCACTCTTGTCAAACCCCTATTCCGACGTTGAGCGTCCTTTGAGTCCGCAAACTCGTATTTCTAGGCAATAGGCTAAATGGGGTATATAGGGATTTGCGCAGCGGTGCGCACATACGCCAACTTATTTTTAGAGAGAACATGCAGCGGAGTGTGTAAACAACGACTGAGGGTTTGGGGTAGGCAGGTTCTCTTTTAAATGAAGAAGTCGTTTTTTTACATTTTCGGACCTTAAGGACAGGGTCGGAATAAGGGTCTGACAAGAGAGCCTACCAATTATAATACATTTAAAAATTAAATCATTAAACACGAGTGCAAAAAGAATAGAGTAATTGCAAAGTTTTTTTTTTTTTTTAATAATATTTATACAAATCTAACAAAAATCTATATAATAAAAATATATTAAATAAATTTATTAATAAGACATTTTTTAAAATCTACACTACAAAAATTTATATGGACATAAAGTTATTCACAACATGGTCACAAGATTGCTTTGTGTTAACATTGCTCTGATAAATATTACTTTCTAAATTTATAAACTGTTGTTTAACAATTATAAACGATAAATTAATAGATCATAAATACAATTCAATAATTTCTTATTTGAAATTAGTTGTTATTAAGTAATACAATTATTAACACAAATATAAATTACTTCCAGACTGCACGCTTTAAATTTTTTGAAGTTTCCTTCGATGAGGTAATTGACGAATGAATGCGAATAGAACGTTTTTCATCATACCTTTTAATAAAATTAAAATGCAAGTAGTTAAGATTTTGTGCAATAAAAACTGCTAATAAAAATAGAATATAAAAAAATAAAAAGTATAAACAATTATTTTATGCATTTTGAAGTCACGAACAAAAAGTATGAACAATTAATTTAAACATTTTGAAGTCAATTCACATGTATTCATGGACTACTAAAATTAAACGGCCTGATTTGTTGCATTTTCCGTAAAAAATTAAGAGGCCAGTTTTTACGGCTTTTACGGCTCAAGCATAAAAACTTCATTTTTGTTATGGTTGAGTCTTGTTTGCACTATAGTTGTTTTATCTTTATTTTATTCAAATGGTTTAATAATAGTTAGATTTTCTTTGAGAACTTACATTATTTTGTGCTAGATTTTTTGTTAACTGATTGCCTGCCTCAGTTTATTCCAATAACAAAGAATACTGAAATAGGCTTTCAGATAGCTATATCAACACATACCAACATGCTACTAAAAATAATCTTACATATTGCTAAAACTACTCACAATTCTCTTTTGGAAATAATTTTAAAGGTTTGTAATTTTGTATTTAATATAATTGCAATTATTAAGTAGAAAACATAAACTTTTCTTTAAAATATTTACACTGCAAAACAAGGTTTTTCAATGTAAATACTTTATTATGCTGCATGTCTCAAATATACAGTAATTAAAATGCAACAAGTCAGGCCATTTATTTACAGTAGGAAAGAAATATCAGGCATACCAACTGTTTTGGAGTCAATAGCTGTTAATAAATTTCTAATTTTTTTCATTGCCAAATAAATGCTTATTTCTTTATTTAAATGGTTTCGCAGCGGTGAAAATTACAAATTGAAAAACTATAAAATATTAGAAAAATCATTGACAAAAATTTGGTATCAAGAGATTATTTGCTTCTTGTGGTAAGATGTACTTCCAAAAAGCAGCCCATTATCAAAGTGGTAAACGATTTGATGAAGATTGAGAAAATAATCTTTTTAAAGAAGTTTTTAATGAAGTATTTTGTTTTTATGATTGTAGGGTTTCAAAAAATTATTCTTATGTTTTGAAATCCTTATCTTAAGTTTACATAACTGGCTTATGTTTGAAAAAGAAATTGATGAGTATATTACCTCAATGCACCAATCTGAATTTAAGATAAGAGCTGTTGTTACCGATAACCATTCTACAAATGTTAATGCATTTTTGTAGTTTAATAAAGCATATACTGGAGATGGAAAAGTATTAATTTACCATTTAGTTTAGAAAAGGAGTGTTTAAAACATACTTGTTATTCTCGGTTTTTGTTTTTTTTCTTCTTGTTGAAGTTACTGCTGATTACATTACTGGGAATATATTTCTTAAAGTCTATTAGAAGATCGATTATTAAACAGGCAAGAAAAAGCAATAAAAATTAATTATCAAGTCACATATTTTGGAAACAATAAACAAGTTGTCAACATTGACAATATTTGACGAAACAAATGCAGCTGTAATTTAGAGTTATTTTTCTGAAAGAAATAATGCAGCACAATTTTTATTATTGTTTTATAAGTTATTTATCATACTTAATTCAAAGCAGAAACTTAATTCATCTAATCAAACTCAGCAGTGTTGCTTTGAAAGATGATAACAAACCCACACTTTATAGAGAAATTGCAAATTGTACTGAAATTTGATCAAAACAAAATTTGATAAATACTTTACATTAACCAAACAAACTTCTTGTGCTCTAATTACAACACTACAAGCAATTGTATTTCTTATGCATGATTTCCTTGAAGAAGTTTTTCATTTGTTTATAGTTCCAATTTACAAAGTGATCCTTTAAATATAGGTTTTAGTAAGTATAGTTAAATGACCAGTAGTAGACTTTTTGTGAGTCTTTTAGAAATATGCATTAGTAAAAAGATTTTGGCAGATTATCCCAGAAAATATTTATCAGAATTTTGATAATCCTTAAAAAATATTATGCAAAATATTTCTTAGTTGTCGACATAAATACTACTGTCAGCTTTCTGAAGATAGCACAGATATATATACTAAAGCAAGTAATAATGGTAAAAATTAACAAAAAGATTTTAATGTAAAACTTATGATCAATAAACGTTACTTTATAAAGAGAAGAACCTATATATTCAATTCAACCTCTGTCTAATTTTATTTGTCATCTTTTAAGTATTTTATGTTATTTCTCTAATAAAACATTGCAGTCATTCTTTTTCAATTAAAAATTTGTGAAACAAATTTTAAAGATTTGATCTAGCAGTTTTAATTTTACAAATAAAAACCACCAAAAATGGGGAATCAAATATAGATTTCGTATTGTTAGCAATATTTTTTATAATAAAAAATTACATATTCATTGAGAAAAGATCAAGTAAAAGAATTCCAAAAAAGACAAAGACAAAATAAACATTTCTGACAAAAATTTCTTCCTTTAATTTCAATTATAAAAAATACAAAGGTACAAACCTTTTTTTTTGTTCAATAAAGAGTTTTAGGCAATCTTAGCAACATGAAAGATTATTTTTAGTAGCATGTTGGTATGCGTTGATATAGTTATCTGAAAGCCTATTTCAGTATTCTGTGTTGTTGGAATAAACTGAAGCAGGCAATCAGTTAACAGAAAATCCAGTACAAAATAATGTAAGTACTCAAAGAAAATCTAACTATTATTAAACCATTTTAATAAATTAAAATAAAACAATTATAGTGCAAACAAGACTCTTAACCATAACAAAAATGAAGTTTTTATACTTAAGCTGTAAAAAAACTGGCCTCTTAATTTTTTACGGAAAATGCAACAAATCAGGCCGTGTAATTCAAGTACGCCATGATGTATTCTGTAACTGCAAAGATGTAATTAGGTTTCTCAAAATTAAATTGTTATTAAAAAATAACATCAAATCTCTTTATCGTTGTTTGTATGAACTATACCCATGGACATTTGTTTTTAAAAGCTACATTCTTAATGCCTTTTAAAGGTTTTTTAAACATATTTTAAACGTTCTTTACGGAAGAATGTTTAGAAAACGTTTAAAAGACATTTAAAATACATTTAGAACATAACTTTTAAAAAAAAACTACGCAAATATTACAAATATTTAAATGAGTATTTTTAAATGTAATAATAATCATATGTAGGCTGTTTACTCTATAAATGATATTTATATAAATAAAGTTATAAGCAAGAAATTAAAGAAACATTTATTATGAGCTTTAAATGATTCAAAACTATATTTTTAGTAATCCAGATTTGGCAAAAAACAAAAACTCAACACTCTATAAAGTTTGAAGAAAGTCTTTAATAGAAAAAGGAAAATGGGTGAAGTTAAAAATTAAATCTAAGGGAAGGAGGACATTGCTGATTTTTTTGAAATTTACTTAACGAAATAGCAAAAAATATTTTATTTAACTGTATAAACAATTAAACTTACAATTTATTTCAAACACGGGCATCCATCTCTCTCGCAAGCTCAGAGGGATGGATAAACCCGGACAAAATTAAATCTTTGCATAATAATTTGTAGCCTCGTTTTGCTCGTGTGCATTTGCACAGCAGCCATTTATAAAATACGTAAAGTGAAACAAAATTTCCCATAATTCTTTTTAGTCGTTGATTTTTTATGCTTAACGCTGAAATGAAAAGTGAATAAAAATCAAATACGTACAGTAAAACAAAATTTCCCAGTGATTCTTTAGTCGTTGATTTTTCACGCTTAACGCTGAAATAAAAAGCGAATAAAAATCAAAGAAATTTTAAAAATAAATTAAATTATGATATAGAAATAAAATCAACTACCATATTCTAAATTTTCTATCAAAAAACAAAATGTATATATACAAACAATATTAAAAATATATAGATTTGAATGGAGCAAGTGTTACATTCTAATCTGAAAAAAACAATTGTTTAGTAATAAATAATATAATTATAATAGATAATTTAAAATAAAATGTAATTTTATATCAAAACAACCACAATGATAGATGCAACAAAAACTGTTTTAAAATATAGTTAACGTTATAATAACAAGTTTTCAAACAATGCACAAATAAATTTTCTTATATATATATTAAAATAAAAAGAGAGACAATTTCGTAAAAAATTAACAACACGGTATATTACAATATATTATCAGAAAAAGTTAAGCTTCTTTGTTCATGTAGTAATAATAATTGCAACAATATTAATAATCAGCAAGGAAAGTAAACTTTAACTTTAATATAGAATATAAGTAGTGACTGTTTCAGAATATATTTGGTTTACCAATTAAAAATTTACCCAGTACCCTAAAAATTATACATTTTTTACAACACAAATTTATAATATCAATTTTTATAACACCAATATACTTATGCAATAATCATTTAAAACTGCGCAAATATGTCACATGGTTGCTTAATTATAAATGTGGACCGATAAGAATTTATTTTGGGAGATCAAAATAATATGTAAATATGTTTGATATCAAAATAATATGTAAATATGTTTGACGTTTCAAAACAAACAGACATTTGGCCTATCAATATTTTCAATGAGAAAAAAACTTACTCTGGCATTTCATTAAAAGGAACAACAATATTGATAACGTCATTTATAAGTGAAAGCTTTAAAATACGATCAGAATATGTTGTTGCAGATAAAGAAGGCGATGCATTTATCTAAAAAAAAAAAGACTATTTTTTTGTACTTTAATATTATTTTATAAAAAAGTTTATAAATTTTTCTTTATAAAGATCAGTACTAGGGGTATATTAGAAATCAATATTTAAATGTAATGCAATAGTAAACTAAACAAAAATAAAAATATTTAAGAGTTTAAAAGTAATATAGTCAGCGTGGAAAATAATGGGGAAGGTGGTCAACGACCATACGAAATGAACAAATTTGCTATTTTGACCAAAATAAACTTTTTTTGGTCAAGCTTGACCAGTTAAAAAAATTCAGAATTAAGGAAAATAAGATTTTAAAAAAATTAGGATGTATTTCAAAAACAAAATTTGCTTAAATTTTATAACATTATTCAAATTTAAAAGACGTCTAAAATATTTTTAAAGTTTAAGATACTCTACACTGTTGTAAAAAAAAAAAAGAAATATTGCTTGATGTCATTACCCAGAAAAATCCTTTGGGGGTATGATTGTACTATCATTGGTTTTTTTTTAGGACGTATGTCCCTAAATCTAGTTATACCGCCCCATGGAAGAAATTCCATTTTCAAATTTGCCTAAAATCGCATTAAAAAAAACTGAAATATATTTAACTCCATAAATATATTTCAGTTGTTTTTAAGAGATATTTAAGAGCAATAAAACTTAATTTTTATATAATTTTTACTTTCATCCACTTCTTAAATTTTGATAGGTGGTGGTAAATAAGTTGTCTAAGGAAAAAAATAAAAATTGCATTTTTTTAGTTTAAAAAAAGAATATATGAGTTATCTTTACCAAAAAAATTTTAAAAAATTGAAGTTGCTTTTTCATAAAGTATTATAATAAAATTCTGGGTAAAAGTTTGAGAATTAGTTGTTCAATCCATTTTTTTTATAAATTTGGGATCTGAATTAACAAAAAATATGCCAAAAAAGCAAAAAAACCACGAAGAGAACAGGAAGACTGTTTGCTTCTTGTGTCTTGGCGAGACTAGTCGTTTTTTAACCAGCTTTATGACAGAAAAAGTGCAACAAATTCTAAAGCAGCCAATTAACTTTAATGATCCAAAAGTCAAAACTAGCATTTGTAAGCGTTGCCACTTCAACCTTAGGAGGTTTGAGGAGGGAAAGCTTCAAACCTAAATACAGCTGTTTGACTTCTCCACTTTCAAGGGTCTGCCACACAATTACTCAAAGTCTACCTTGCAAAAAAATTTAGGTCATGTCAAAAGACTCTGGGACAGCTGAAAGAGTTGCAGCATCAGTCATTGCCATCAAAGAAGATTCACCCAATAGAACAGTTTATCTTAGTAGACCTGAGGAAACAAGAGGCCACCTTATTCCAGTTCTTCTAGGTAACATTGTATTAGATATTTAATATTTTAAGTCTATGTAATGTATAATGTAAAATCTCTCTTAATTATTTCCATATTTTATCTTCAAGAGCAAGAAGACTTTTCAATGAAGAACCAGTACTGACAGCAAAAGATCTTGTTTATGTGCAACACAACACAGGGCTGTCCGATTCTGGTGTGAAATAGCTGGTTTCAACACTAAATCAAGTTGTTCCAAGTCGGATTGTTGATAAGACTCCCGATTCCCTCCAAGTTTGATCAGTTTAGCAAAAAATTTGGATCAAAGTTGTACCGAGGGCACACATTAGGTGGATAAACTTGTCATTTGCCGCAAAGACTTGAAAGTTCTTTGTCAGCAAGTTCTTAAAATAAACCTCTTTGATGACTACATCGTGAAGATGGCAACGGATGGTAGTGGTTACTCTTTCCAAGAGTAAAATTTGAAATCATGGAAAAAGATTCAGCTTCACAATTTTGAACATCAAATCACCAATTCTCTGGCCAAAGATTCTGGTGTTTAGCGCCAGTTACTGATTGCCATTTCTGAGGATCTCCAGATAAACTATAGCAATTATCAATTGAGTAGATCAAAAAATTGCTTGACAATATGTCAAGCAATTTTTTGCTTGACATATTGTCAAGCAAAAAATTGAATCGAAGAAAATTGTTAATTACCATTGAATTTACTGCATAAACATTTTTGTTATGTTTTTAGGATGAATAAAAATTCTTGAAACTAACTTTGTTAGTTGCTTATCAACTGTGTATTTAATGTGATTTTATGCAAAACTTAAAAATAGATTTTTTTTACACAGACAGTGTAACCATATTTAATAGCTTATATCCCAGTGACCACCAATGATAGTACATTGACATAAATCTTATTTTACATGAAATAAAGTTTTTCTGTCTGTTTTGCTTTAATTATTCAACAAAATCCATGGCCATTTTTTATATTTATTTGAAGTTCAAATTTTATCATTATTTTCCATTTGTAATTGTATTACAGTTTAACTGACCCCTGAATATGTTACAGTTTTGTGACCCCTGAGTATGAAAGAACAGAGAACAAAAAGCAAGTAACACAGTTGCTATTTGTCAAGTATTATCAGGACATTTCCACTACACACCTAGTGTTGTAACAAAGCTGAAACCCAACATACAAACCCAACTAAAATTACAAGAGCACAACATAATTCAAATTATTTTGGTGGAACTCAACATTGCAGGTGGAACTCAACATATGATATGCTTGAGAAGTTCTGTGATTAGAAAAAGGCTATTGCATTTTTTTACATTACCAGAATTCAAACAAATACAAAGAATCCAACGAAAAAATTAATGGCAACGTGCTTGTATGCATCTAAAACATTTTGAAAGTGCTACAAAAGGTTTTAGTGCAGACACTGCATGTACATCAGATCATTTATTTATGCAATAAAATTTTTTTTTTGATTAAGCTTGTGATTCAGCTACTTAAATCAAAACTGTTGTTAATGTACTCAAAAAAGATTTAACAGTCACTTTAAAAAAATATAAGAATAATAGTAAAAATTGTTGAACTTTAAATTGCAATGATGCTTGGTTCACATTTATGTATGTTTTGTACTATTATGTAAATCATAGTATGTCTAAAAATATATTGTCTAGAGTACTATCGGTTTCATTATATGTCTCATTTACAACAAGCAAAAGAAGTTGACAGCACTGATGCAGGAATAGACCAGACTTAAATGGATCGGTAATAAATTTCTAGGTTTTCAACTTCAAGAGCCTGATAAGAGTTCTGATAATTATGGTTCTCCATTTAAAAAAATGAAACTAGTGAGTATTACATGTATAGTTATACATAATGCACCTATACACCTTCTTCCACCATGTTATATACTTCTTTCAATAAATTTGTACAAATGGGAATCAAAATTCTTAAAACACTGATGGAGAAAAAAAAATAAAAAAAGTACAAATCCAAGAATAAAAACTCAAAGTAAAATGCACGAACTAAAAACTAAAAATTAGAATTAAAAATTTATTTAGCCAAAAACTTTTTTATTTATAAAAATATAAATCTAATTAATAATTGATATGTAGATTACTTTCTATATTTGACACATAAAAGATCTCTGTCAATCCCTTTCTTGTACTTATTTGTTTTCTGTTAACTCATAACTTAATTAGTAGTTGCTTGCAGTTAGAAGTTAATTTGTTCAAAAAAAAAATGCTGTTTTTTTGTTTTGTTGCATTTCATAGAGATATAAAGTCTATGTTAACTAATATTTATAAATTTTTAATTTTTATTATTATAAATTTCATAGTTTAAAAGTATAATTTATAAGAATTAATTTAATAAGATTAAAGACTTTAAATTTTCAAATTTAAACTATGATTTTATCTTTGTATCAGCATGTACCACATCAAAGTTTAAAATTTCAGTTCAAACTTCAAATGATAATGTACAAATGAAAGTAAATTGAAGTACAAACTTCAAATGATAATGTACAAATGAAAGTAAAATGATGAACAAGCTTCAAATGATAATGATAATAAATAATAAAAGTTCAATTGATCATCCATCTAAATTGATCATCATGACATCCAAACTTCAACCTCAAAAATCATTTTTATATATTATTTAAATATATAAAACTTATATATATTGAAGTATTCCACATGTTGTCATGTTGTCATGTTGGTTTGACAAGATTCTGTTTTTTTTTTATGTTAGGAGAATTAATAAATAAATTCTTTTTTTATTTTATTTTGTTTAAATAAAAATATTTATATGACTTTTTTTTTTATGTATTTATGTATTTTTATACATCTACCAAAAAAAGAATACATAAACAAAACAATAAAAATAAATAATATAAATAATTTAACATTAAAAAAAAATTTAAAGATTTTTTTTTTTTAATTTTTTCAATTTATTTAACATATGAATTACAGAGTACACTGATTATCAGTTAATATCTAAGTAAGTCATAGATTTGTCTAAGTAAGTTATGCATTATGACTGTCTAAGTAAGTCATACATTTAGGACTGTGGAGTCAAAGTTACAGTATCTACCTTATTCTAGTATTATTTACCTAACTAGTAATCAGTTGCTAATTAGAAACTAATTCAAATACTAAATTAATTTCTAACTAGTAGCTTTTAACTACCCGCATATAAAATATAAATGTATATATACAAATGCTTTTCTGTATAATTTCAATTGTATCAATATAATTTTATTTCTATTGTATCAATATAACTTTATTTTTTTTTAAAAAAAAGAAAAGCTGTTAGTTAAATAAAAAAATTTTGGTTTTTAAAATTGATAAATTTTAGATGTTTCTTAGTTTATAAATATGCTTGTTTTTTTCATCAAAAAATGCAGATACAACACAAGTTTTAATTTTATACCCTTGAATAATGATGTTTAGTAATACCATGTACCATTAGGGATGGGGCACTTATACTTATTTTGATGTAAAAACGCGATTTACTTTTAAGCGTAAATTACTTACATAACTCATATTAAAATTTTTTTTTTTTTTTTTTTTTTTTTTTTTTAACATCTTCACTTCCAACAAGGCTGCAAGCAACCACTATAAGAGTTGGAAGTTACTGGAAAATATAATTCACTTACATTTAAAAGTAATTATTTATTTTTTATTACATAAATTATATTACAAGTAAAACTTAATTACATAATTAATTACATAATTACATAATTAACTTAATTACATAATTATATAAACATAAATTTAATTACTTAAATTCCTAACTGTTACTTGAAAAGAAAACAACTTTTAAAGTAATTTATTTTTACTCGTAAAAATAAATTACTTTAAAGGTTGTTTTCTTTTTCTTGAAAAGGTAAATTACTTTTTCAAGCAAGTCGTTAAAAAGTAATTTTGATTTTATTTATTCGTGAAACTTACATTAAAAAGTAATTTACTTTTTTATGTAAAAAAGTTCTTTTTTGAGATAATGTTATGTAAATGTAATGTTTGAAAAATGTAACACTTACTTTAAAAAGTAAAATAAAAGTGCATCATAAAAATAAATTACTGACATGGGTAAAAGTAACTAATTAGCAAAGGCAACTTACATAAAAGTAATTTGAAAAGAAAAAAGATTTACTATTAGAAATAAAAGTAAAGTTTTTCTTTCAAATACTTATTTTACATAGGAAGTAAGCAAAATGTAAATTATATTGTTTACTTCTTCAAAAAACAAAGCCATTTTACTAACAATTTTTTAAGGTAAGTAATTTTTAGTTGATGGGTACATCTGGGTTATACTACTCGGAATTATTCAGATGTATGTGGGCCTTTTTGTGGCAGGGATTACAAATTATACAAGTAGGGGCTAATATAGTTAATAGGATGGATTTGTAAAAGTAGGACAGCAACAGCCAAGGCCCTTGAGCTATAAGGAGCAAAATTATTTCTTTGTTTACCAAGACCGAAAGTAGATTATTGGTCCTAATTAAACATTTAAATGCTGTCAGGGGGGAGGGCATAGTTTTAATTTTTTTGTTATTTTTTAAATTATTTTTTAAGTGCCCCCGAGAAGTCTGTACGGTACAGAACCCCACGTAAAAGCATTTAACATCCGCTTCTTTTCTAACCGATGTTGCAAAACTCACCCATTTCGTGGTAAACCTTTAATCTTTATGATCAAATATTATGTATTATTCATTTGGTATCAGAGGGGGGGGGGGGGGGAATAAACTAAATGCTATAAAACAATATTCGTTAAGGGCAAGGAAAGCCAGTTAACCATAGACTAAAAGATCTGTGCACAACAAACTATGGAGCACACAGTTTTTATTATTACTTGGGGACCTAAGTTACTGAAAAGAAGGTTATTGGCACCAGCCTTTTTTTCAGTTACTTTGGTGGCCAAGCCACCCAAGTAATATTCTAACATATTCAAATAAAATAGTGCCTTTAAAATAATTTTTTTTTTTTCAAAAAATTTCCTTTAAAATTTAAAGTGAAGATGGGCAGTAGACTGTCCACCATCAGTAGCTTATGTGGCTACAATGGTATCTTTTCAATAGCTTATGTTGCTTCAATGATGCTTCTATTACTCTATTCAAGACTAAAATTTTATGAATAGTTCTTTAAAAAAAGTTAGTTTTCATTTGGGTAAGAGTTGTTGTTAATAATTACCACGTTGACTTAAAGATCTTAAAGAAGGACGATGACAATAGACAATTTAAAATAGTCTTTTAAAATAAATGAAAAATCAGGTTTTCACCCTTTTGAAACTAATTTTAACCTCAAAAAAAAAATTAGAGCTTTTGAAAACTGCAACAGCTGCTTATAGGTTACTAAATGAACTAAACTATAGTTTATTTTTTAATACTTTTTAAACAACGTCTTTTTGAGTTTCTGTTGTATTTTTATAGCAACTTTAGAATCACTAGGTTTATTTTGATGTTATTGATGTATATTGCAACGTTTCTTTTTTATAAGTATTTTTTTAATTACTAGTCATATTATTTTTTAGAGCCTTTAAACATTCGATCCCACTGAAAATTGATGCGTCTCTCGTGAAGCAAATTTAATAATAATCTAATTAGCAGAAAAATCTAGTAACTGTAACGGAAGCATTCTATAAAATTATCAATAATGGCTTCTGATATTATACCATTCATGACACGACAGATGTTAGATTAAATTTCTTCAAACATACTTATTTATTATATTTTAGCATACTGTAGTAAGCCAAAAATATAAGCTCAAAGAATAGTTTTAAAGGCTAAAACCATAACCGGATTAAGATTATTTGTTGCCTGGGGTTATTTTTAAAGTAGCTTCCTTTTTTTGAGTGCTATAACATCTAAAGTGATTTAAGAATTTAAAAAAACGGTCTTTTTGAATATTTTATGGCCGCCACCTAAACCTACCCACCACCACATAGTCTAGTACTACCCAATATAGTCATGGACTGGGAGTAAGAATGGTTTTAATCGGCAGCATTTTGTTGCCTATAAACCAAATACTGATACATCAAAGTTTACAAGGGAAAAAAAAAGCCAGAACCACTCACAAAAAATGTCGCCAAAAACTAAATGTTAGTTACTTTAATGCAAGTTGTACTTTTTGCATTTTATTCGGTTGCACAATATCCTCTCTAATTTATATAGAATATAAGTAAATTTACTTATAAAATATAAATCATTTTTAATTTACTTTAAAAATTATATAAAATATAAGCTTATGTAATAGATTTTTTTCTTTATATAATTTATACTTTACATGAATTTTTTTTTACTTATATAATGAAAAATGACAAATTATATAATATTATTTTATAAGTAAATTTTATTTATATTTGGTCGCCTATTACTTTTATGTAATTCTTTTTCATAGAAAAGTCTTTTTTACAATTACGGTAATATAATATTTTTTTTATAAATTATTTTTTTTTTGTAATGTAAATTACATTTTGAGGAAGTATTAAATTATGTAATATAATTTGAAAAAGTAATTAATACTTACATGTAAAAGTAAATTGCTTTTTAGTTATGAGACTTACTTTTACTTGTAAAAGTAAATTACTTTTTGATTTAATCTATTTTTACATAAGTTACTTTTGAAAGTAAAAAAACTTACTTTATAAAGTAAAAGTTATTTCATAAAAATTATTTATTTTTTAAATGTAAGTTCAATTTGAACGGTGACAATTACTTACATAATAAACTTTTTCAAAAAAATTTACTTACTCGTGTAAGTAAAAAAAAAGTAAGTAAAAGTGCCATCCCTACGTACCATGTACAAGACAAAAAAATCCAAAAAAACTATACATCATAAAAACATACGTTGGAAAGTGAAAATAAGTTTAGAAGAATATTAAAATATTTACAAGAATAAAAAAAGATAAAGAATTTAATTCTATGATGATGATGGTGATGATAATGATAATAAAGATATTTTTGACTTTATCTTGTCAAACAATATATAAATATATATATATATATATATATATATATATATATATATATATATATATATATATATATATATATATATATATATATATATATATATATTGTTAGGAATTTTTACCTCTCAGGTTTACAAATCAAGTTTATAAATTTAACTAAAAGAAAAATTTTGAACTAGTTTACCTCAATTAGCCATGGTTTTAAATCATTATCAATGATGACATCATAACTGTAATGAAACATAAACAACAATAACTCAAAATATTTAAACTCTATATACTATATTTTACTGAATATATCTTGTATAAATAATTACTGACACCATGAATATAAATGTAATAACAAAAGTACAAAAATAAATTTTTTTTGACAACTTCATAACTAAATTTTAAAAAAATATTTACCCGTAACATTCAAAACAATGCTTGTCATTATGAATAACATTCTAAAAAAATTTTTAACCTTAATAGTTGATAAATGCAAAAACAAATTATGTAATAAGTGATTTTCCAGTCAGAAAACCAAAATCACTCAGGCTCAACTTAAGTAACTGCTAAAATTAAAAATGTTGAATTATTCTTATTATGGCTGCTGCCAGTTGATTTCTTACGTCCCATGTTTAATTAATTTATTATTTTAAACTTAATATAAAAGTTTATGTATATCTTGCAAATAAAAAACAAAGAAAATGCAATGAAAGAAAATGCAAATGTAGCTGTTTTCAATTATATTAAAAATATATATAACTAACGAGGACAGATTTTACAAAAAAAAAAGAATGAAATAGAGAGCGAAAAGTATGTACATCCACTATCAAATAGCCTGACTTGCAACAGAGTACTATAACATCGACTGAGGGTTTGGTTTGGATCAGCATCAAGGTCAAGGTCAAGCTTAGGGTCAGGGTTATGACAAAGTTTAAATATGGTTAAATTACTGTAACTAATTGTTTTTGTAAATAGATGGAAAAAAAAAGAACTATAATATATAATAAATAAATGAAAATAACAAAAATAAATATAAAAAGTATATTTTTATAATAAAATAATAAATTTAAACATGTATGAATAAAAATAGAAATAAAATAAAAATTTTAAAAATTATATAAATGTGATAAAAATAGTAGAAAAAAAGTAAAAAAAGAATATGTTAAGGGAATAATAAAAACATGTCCCCGTAAACACTGACTAGGAGTGTGTATATATATATATATATATATATATATATATATATATATATATATATATATATATATATATATAGAGAGAGAGAGAGAGAGAGAGAGAGATATTCAGCTTTCTTTGTCCTTTCAAACATAAAAAATTTATTTTAAATATTCATAAAGAATATTCAAAATAAATATTTAAAACATTTAAGGGTTTTATACTTCTACATAATTGAAACTTTGAAATAAAAACTTTACTTTAAATAAATTTTCATAAATTCACACATCTCTTAAAAATGAATTTTGCAAGAAATAAACAATTTGTTAAGTACTTCATTTGAAACTTTAAATTTTTTTTTTATAATAATTAAAAAAAAGTTGTAAATAACTTTTGGGCACCCATACTAGTTCACTGGAATCAAAACATGTTTGAGTTTATCCCTAGAAAATATATGGGTCTGCGGTGCTGTCCAAAATGCTTTACATAGACACTTTATCTCAAAAAAAATTTTTTGGAACAACTTTATTAATAACTTTTATTTTAACGTAACAAAAAATCGTAATACCTGGACAGCTTTTAAAGAATGAACAATCAACCAATTAATATCATCAAAAAGTTTGTCTGCAACCTACAAATATGACATATTCACGATATATTCACAAATCAACTCAATGCAACATATTTTCCTTAATTAATTAAAATCATGCTTAATTAATATTTTTATAATCTTAATTAATATTTTTTGTATAATCTCTTTTGAATGTTTATTTATTATAGAAAGGTATAAAAAATCTAATTTGTAAGTAATTAAACTTTTATTTTATTATTTTGATTGTATTTTGGTTGAAAGCTTAACATGTCTTTTCATTATTGAAAAAAAAATGTTTTAAAGTCAAATAAAACACAGAATTATATACGAATAAAAAGTATTCATTGTTTATATTAAAAAAATTTTTTCAACAAAATATTAACATATAGCTATGTAATAAAAATGATTAACATTAATGTTTCTATTAATTATTTAATTTTTTAAAAATACATTTTTCTTCCTCAAGAATCTGTATCAAGGGTCCACTACTTTTTATACTTTATATAAATGATCTTCCTGAGTCTCTAAAAAATATTTCAAAATTATATGCTGATGACACAAAAATCATGTCGATTAGTCCTTCTAATGAGTTACATAATAAACTACAATGTGATTTGAACTTTGCGTATGCTTGAACACAAGATTGGTTGCTTAACTTTAATATTGACAAATGTTTAGTTATGTACTATGGCTATAAAAATAAGAAATACCCAATTTACTCAACACATCAGATTCAGAAAGGGACCTAGGAGTAATTTTTTCAGATAACTTGAAGTGGAAAAATCAAGTCTTATCGATTGCAGGCAAAGCAAACCGCATGTTAAGTATAGTAAAAAAATCTTTTGTTCAATTTGATGCAGATCTGCTAAAATCTCTATATTTTTTCTTTTTTTGACCACTACTAAAGTTTGCTGTACCAGTTTGGGCTCCTTATCAAAAACAAGATATTGTGATATCGTGCCACTAAATTGGTACCTTCAATCAATAAATTATGCTATAAAGATCGACTAGCTTGTCTTAGAATGCCCTCACTAGTTAAAAGAAGACAACGTGGTGACATAATTCAACTGTTTAAAATTTTCAAAGGTTACACAAAGTTGAATTTAAAGAAAACAAGTCTTTCAAATCTAATTGTACTCAAAGTCATAACCTAAAGTATTCTAAAGAATTTTCTGTACATAATTATAGAGAAAATACTTTTACTAAATCGAATTATTGCAAATTATTGGAATGCACTGCCAGAAAAAGTTGTTAAAGCAAATGTAGTCAACTAATTTAAAGCAAGACATGATCGATGGGAGTCAAACCATCACAAGGCTCAGCTCTTATAGTGTGCTTTAAAACCACACTCACTGGTAGCAATACCAGTCACAGCATAAACTAATACTAATACTAAATCATGTCATCAGTTTGGAAATTTGCTGTGTGGCGTAAAATTTTGAATCAAGAAATGTTGAAGGCATCTATAATAGATGTGGTTCTGTTGTAACATGCTCCGGTGGATCCATAACTACTTTGCAGAATCATGTTTTGCATCATGGAATTACTATAATTCTATAATTAAATAGTCCTTCAACTGGAAAATTAAAAAGCAGCTCAAATCCATCACTGGACAGACAGTTTTTTACAAAAAACAAGCCTTAAAGAAATTGTAGCTGATCTAGCTACAGATGGTGTTTTGATTAATAATAAAATGGTGTCAACCTATAAAACTGGTCTCATTAGGATTTATGGTTTCTGTCCAGCTGAAAATTTAATACAAATTATAAAGCATCATTTGAATTCATTTGGTGTTTTTATGAAAAGAGATGTAGCAGGTTTTACTTAAGATGGTACAGTAATCGCCAAGAAAGCACTGCAATCAACAGACATTGTTGATCAGTTTTGCTTTAACCATGCAATTCATTTTGGTGTATGCGACAGGTTGTACAAGAAAAATAAAGACACAAATTAACCAAATTCAAAGGAAATGTAAAGTGATTCGGAAGAGGATTGACATGAAATTTATGATAATAATTTTAGTTTTGAATCAGTAAACAATGAGATTAATGTTAACTACATTGAAATTTTGATGTATTCACAAAAAGTAGTGAAATTCCTAAAAAAATCAACAGTTCGTAATCAATTTTTTAAGAAAAAAATTACTAATGAATTTAGTAAAGAAATCGAACTGCATCACGATGTTTGTCATTGTTAGAAAAACTTTTTTCAATGATGCCTTTGTTAAAAACTAAGAAATGTTTATTCTAGACATTAAATACTCTTGATACAATCATTAAGTTAGATTTTGATTCCTTAACTTCTTTTCATGCCGCTTTAGAGCCAACAAAACTAGCAGTGGAATTCATTAGCAGAGAAGATGCAACGTTATCAACAGCAGATACTGTTCTTGAATTTAAGCACCAATCGAAAATCTCTTGCATTCAAATTTAAAAAACATTGATAAAAAGAATTAACGGAAATGTTATGCAGTTGTTAAGGTGCTTAAAAGATCCTTTTGTTGTTCCATTAAAAAATACTTTAAATTTTGTTGGAAAACTTGCATTAAGGCTTTGGATTTACTTTTAATGATGAGGAACCACTACTAACTGAAGCACCATGTACAACATCAAAAAGTTCACCTATTTCTCTTAAGGATGAATTAATTGCACTTCTTAATAAAGATAGCATCACATACTTGCCTATTTCTACTGATTATTTCAAAAGGCTTAAGCAAGAGTTTTTATTGTACCAAAATACGGGCAAATAAACTTAAAATCTAGAAAAAATTTACAATCCAATTTTCTTTATAAAGCCAACATCAAGAGATGTTGAACGCATTTTTTCGAGCTGCACTGGTTTCTGCGCAAATATTGGGTTATGACTATCTGCTGAATCGTTAAAATCTTTATTTTTCTTGAAATTTTTTTACAATAAATATAAATCATTATGTTTTATTTCAAAATGTAAACATGTTGTTAAACATGCTGTTAGAACACTTTGTTTAAAATACTTTTTTAATAAACAATGCAAGAATAACTTACAGAAGTTTTATTATTTAACAAAAAAAAAAAAAAACCCGAAAACCATGGTTAACCTCGGATTTTTTTGAGATGCGGTTTTTTGGAAACTCTACTAGCCTCCAAGCATAATTGGGGCTAATGTGGTGCTGAACCTTTTCAATGTTTTAAATTACATGTTATGCAAAAAAAAAAATTTTTTACATAATTGCAAATTATATTTTTCACCCCAATATGAAAAAAACTGCAAAACTGTGTTAATAAGAAAACTTTTTTTGTTTAGTTATAAACTTATAAACTGACAGGAATATGTACTGTATCTTATATTTTAAATAAAAGGTAATTATGCATTTTGTTCAAAATTAAACATCCGTTCCTTTTACTGTATTTTGTTTTAGTTTGTTGAAATAACTTAGGAAACTTTAATGATTTAAAACTTTATTATTGATTTGAACTTAGAGAAAAAATTAAATTAAACACAAAGTAAAAGATGGTTTGTAACTGGCAACTTTAAAAAACAAACTTAAATGACAATTATTATGTTATTGCTGTTTTATGTAGCTGTTTTATGTATTTGTCATATTTACAATTAAACATTAAATTTTTAATCATGCTCATATTGTTATTGTAATAATTGTTGTAAGTCAATAACATAGTGCTATATGAAATAATATAAGACTCTCTTATAATGAGCATGTTAACTATTTCTATGATACCTTGCAAAACAAATCAAGTCAACTAAAAAATTTATTTAAAAAAACAAGTGATTTGAATGTAATACATAAAGGTACCGTATTAAAGTTATTTTGTTTTTCTGATGGAATCTTTTTTTTTTTTAGCTTTTTACAAACCTATTAAGTAATTTTTGATCTTTTTAGATCAAAAAATTTTAGGTTGCTTACTATTAGTAGTTATAAATTTACGATATAATATATAATATAATATATAACTCACTTCTTTTCCTTTTGTTCCTTCCAAATATAATCTTAAATTATTTATTGTCCATTTTCCACCATGTGTAGCATTATATTCTGCCTAAAACCGCACTATAACTTTTTACAAAATATTCAATGCAAATTACGAGAACTTATTTCAAAAACTTATTTTATACTTAAATAAAAATGAAAATAGTCTTATTTTAAGAATTAAAGGTGAAAATAGTCTTAGTTTGAGAATTTTGAAAATAGTCTTTGAAAACAGTCTTAGTTTGAGAATTAAAGGTGGTACTTAAGGTAATATTTTTAAATACTTTAAGAAAGTGAATATAATGCAAACTTTTTTTTGAGAACATATAGAAGGGATAAGTTTTATGAAATAACGATAGTAGATAAATAACAAATTGCAGTGGAAATCATTAATAACTTTTATTAAACCAGGTTGGCAACCAATAATAACTTTTAACAAATATAGAATGTAACTAAATAATTTTGATTTAAAAATCAGAAAATTAATTGTTTTTAGAGTATAAAGAAAATTTCTGAATCACACTAAATTGGAATTGTGGAATGCCACAGACATTATTTATAATTCTTTAAAAATATCTATTTAATAATGTTTATAGACATATAAATTAGTTTATTTTGTAAAAAAGTCCACATTTAATTTTTTTAACTTAAGGCATTTTGACAAAAGGTTGCAGTAATGATCTGAAAATAATAAGCTGACAACTCACAAGAAAATTCAATAAACAAAAAATCAATTATATATAACTCATTTCATTAAAAATAATGACATACTCCTTGTTTTTGTATTGAAACATTAGTTAAATGAACAAACATGTTATCCAGTTCATTGATACCAGCATTATACTTTACAGTACAAAAACGACAAAAACCCAGTTTATAACTAAATAATAAAAAACTACATGCTGTAAACACTTTTTAATCTAACCTTAACAAAATGTCTGCAGTTATTTTTACAAAATTTTTTTTTTACAAAAGTTATATTAGGCAACTACATAAATAAAAATAAAAAATAAAAAAGCTTACATATTTTTTAGCATGAGGGGGAAGGGGAGAGAGTTCTGTATGCATCCTTATTGCAAAAAGAGAGAGTTCTGTATGCATCCTTATCATATTCATATTTAATAAGATATTTTTTATTAACACTATTACTTATGTATTTTTTTATTATCCAATAAAAAAATACACAACAGTTTAAAAAATTACAATAAATAAAAACTTGTAAAAGTTTTAAACAATATTTCAAAATAGAAAAACAATAAAATCACACATGTAACAATTCAACGGTTTGAATGATGTTACCAATACATAGAGACGCAAATCAAACTTTTTTCCACCGATCAAAAGAGGATTTCCAATATAACGAGATATGACATAAGTTTCTTTATTGGCTGTGTGATTATTTAGCCTAAAGTAAATTTATAGAAATAAACTGTAATATAAAAAATTGCTTAAAAAAAAAATTTTAATTCAAAAAAACTGTAATATTAAAAATTTAACCTCTAACATGATTGTTACAAAGTCTATAATACATTATTTAACATTTTTCTGCTCCCTTAGACCCTAAGTAAAAAAGGTTCACTGAAAGGTTTCTCAAAGTTTTATTGAACTTCAAATTTCAAATAAAGATAAGTTTTAATTTGTAATTTTAAGTTATTTTTTTTTATCTGTTTTTTGTCAAATTAAAAAATTAATAAATATTGTCCTGCGTCAACATTTAAAATCTAAGCAGGGATGCAAAATCCTAACAATTTGTTCATGACTCAAAACTTTTCTCTTTTTATTCTTTTTTTTTTTTTCATTTTTAAATCTTTGATAAAGATTAATTCTAAATTTTAATTCTAATTTTAAATCCAAACTTAAAACTCCAATAAAATTTTAACTTCAAAAAACTCAGTTATATTATCTGCAAATGACTATCGCAATACTGTCGATATTCCTATATTAATGAATGGCCTAATACTGTCGATATTCCTATATTAATGAATGGCCTAATACTGCAATACTGTCGATATATTAATGAATGGCAACCTTCTCACTGAGTCCTCTTCTTTATCTCTTCTTGGATTATTGTTAACTACTAACCTTTCATGGAAACCATATATACAATTGATTGCTAAATTAGCATCTGCTAAGGTTGCTTCTCTTTATTATGTTTGCCATTTTCTCTCTCCTGATTCTATTCTCTACCTCTATAAATCTCTTATTCGTCCCTGTATGTCATATTTGTTGTATGGAATACAACAAATATGACATACAGGTTCCTGTATGGAATACTGTATGGAACTGTTTCATATTTATACTGTTGTCATATTTGGGTTGGTTTTTCTAATGATGCTCTTATTCTTCTAGACAAGGTCCAAAAACGCATTGTAAATGTAGTTGGACCTGCTCTATCTACTATGCTTGAGCCTCTTTCCCATCGTCATAAAGTTGCATCTCTTTCTCTTTTCTACAAATACTATCATAGTCGCTGCTTAAAGGAGCTATCATCACTAGTTCCATCAACTTAAGCTCAATCTAATTTGACTCGTCATTTAGCAAAAGTCTTAATCTTTTACTGTATCTATCACTGCATGCTCTAAAAACTTTTATTTATCTAGTTTTTTTCCCGCACTTCAACGTTTTGGAACTCTGTCCCATCTTCATGTTTTCCTGACTCATACAACCTTCAACTTTTTAAGTCTTCTGTCAACAGTTTCCTTGCTCTAAAACTCTTTTTTTTCTAGTAACTCCTAACTTAATAGTGGCAGGCGGGAGTTTACAGCAGATTTGTTGTTTAAAATGTTGGTAGGTTTTAAATGCTAATATATAGGCATAATATATAATCTCATTGCCAGATGATTCTTTAATTGAGGTTATTGAACCATTGGACCAATTTTCCCAGGAAAATTAAAATCAACGACTATGATTAGTTTTTTGACACCTTTTTGGTCGACATATTCTCTTGCAATTTTAAATACATTTTCAATATCAGTCAAATTTTTAATATCATAAGGTCTATAAATATACCCAATATTTTGTGTTACTTGTCATTCAATTAAGCCTCATCCTTTTACTGTGTTCCTAAGTCCAAAAGTTCTTATTTGTTTAGTTTTTTTCCTCAAACGAGAATGAATGGCAGTTGGGAGTGTATCAGAATAAAAATAAAAAATGGCGATTTTATCTGCTTGTAAAGCTATTTACGTTAAGCCAAAACTTTTATCTAATGGAATATTTAAATTGTCTTTAAATAGTGTTTATTTAGAAAACATAAAGTCATAATTATTTATTTACAAAATATTTTCACCACAATTGTGAAATAACTTTTTATTTTTTAATAAAATAAAGCAGATTTTGTTAAATAAATTTTTTTACTAAGCTAAGTTTTTTTTTTTATTTATTTTTTTTTTTTATTTGAACTCACCTCTCCAAGGCAATGAAGGCCACTGCAGACAAGGAGGCTATTTAAGTTGTGGCTACAACCCTCTCTTAACTCTATAACTCTGAAACATAAACCTTGATAAACAAGGCCGCTGTCCAGAAAAACAAGTTGAGCATGGTACTACCAGGGATGTGGTGGGGATCGAACTCTGAACTTCTGGCTTATGAGGTGAGCGCTCTACCACTACACCACTACTGCATTAAAGAAAACAAAATACTTTAAGGTTTACCTTTTCATTATATTTATTATAATTCTTTTAAATAAAAAACTTTAAATAAATATGATTCTTTTAAAATTAAATTAAAATTTAGTTTTGAAGAAATGTAAAAGGGTTTTGCAATTTTTTTTCTCTTAAAGAAATTATTTTTTTCTTGTCATTTGCTATGTAAGTAGTTCATTACTTACTTAAAAAAAAATTCTGATAAAGCAAGCTAATTTTATTTTGCTATGCATAAGTTTATTTTAAAAAATAAATAGAAAATTAGAAAAAATAAAATAAACCTCTTTCAAATAATAAATTTAGATTTCATTGGTTATATTTGTTATAGTGCTGATTGTTTTGATGATATTTAAAATAAAATTTTAAATTTTTAATGTAAAATATTATAATTAATGTAAAAATTTTAAAATAAAATTTAATTATATTACTTTAAAATATGCTTATGATGCATTTTAACTTTTAATGATGCAAATATGTAAGCTAAGATAAATTGCTTTTACATGTGTTAGGCTTTTCTGTTGTGCCACAAAATCTGAAACAATATTAAAGAGTTATCCCTTATGCCTGTTGTCACCCTGGCATACTACTGAATCCTTTGAGAAACGTGGAAACTTTGATGAAGTTCTTGCTAGAACCCACCCACATAAATGCCACTTTTATACTCATGTGCCTTAATTGTTGCTATTTAAATACCAGGTTGGCAACCAACTCATCAGAAAATCATGCAGCTCTAGTTAGAGAAGCTGCAGGGGCTTCATTATATATACAATGATATAAGGAGAAGATTGACTAAAAATTTGGGTTAGGGAGGTGAATATATTATATTGCATGTTTAGATAATTTGTCTGACTGAATAAGTCAGTTACAGCCTTCCATAAAGCTATAACTGATGCACAAAATCAGCTTCTTTGTACTATTCAAGTCTGCGGTCCCCAAGAATATGACAGCAGATTATCTAAAATGCATAAACAAAACACTAATGCTTACACGAATCTAAAAAGATTCAAACCCTTGTCAAAGAAATAATACCTCAAAGTATTGTACTATTAGTTTTGTAAAATCAAATCAATATTATTTATTTGTATGAATGATTTTACAGATTTAATTTATTTTTTGATAATTTTTGTCATAAATTTTTTCAAAAGCTTATTTTGTTATAACTTAAAATAAAAAGTTTTTTATTTTAAGTCTACATAATGATCTTTCACATGAATAAATAATGATCATTCAAATTCAACACTATATCCAAAAATTTAACAATGTATTTAAACGTATATCTACAAAAAACTTATGCCATCTACATACATACATACACTGGCGTAGGAACAAGGAGGGGGGGGGGGCAAAGGAAGCAATAGCCACCCCAACTAAAACACCTTGGGGAAAGGGGGTGGACACTGCATACAGCCCCCCTATTTCCTGAACAATTTTAAAAAAACTTTTATGATAGCAACAGCAGAATTATTATTTTCCAGTCTGCAATGACTCAATCAAAATTGAATATCACCATGGAAAATTCCATAAAACTATTTAAGATTCGCATACTATTTTTTAAATGAATGTGAGCTGGCAAAAGATGACTAATCACGTTAAAAAGATGATTAATCACTTTGCGTGTGATAAATAATTAAATAAATGGATCATTTTTATCTATTTTGCTGTATCATACGAAATTGAGGAACTTTTTACTTTTTAACATATATTTTCATTATGATCAAAATACTCACTTTTGCATTGAAAAGGTTATTGTAATACTTTTAACTCATTTAAAAGATATTTTTTGAAATAAAAAAGTGAATATTTAGCACATAATAAAATCCACGCTCTACTACTTTCCCCTAACCATTTTTTTTTTTAAAGGTTACTATTCAGTTAATAAATAATTATATTAATTATAATATCTATAATACTTGTTATCATTTAGTCAGTAATAATAATTATCAACATTTATATATTTGAGTTTTATTTTAAACTTCAGGAAACAAAATGTTAAGATCTAAAACAGATCATCCAATCTTTGGCTATTCAAAGCCACTCTCTGATGTGCAACTGCCAACAGGACTAGATGTCATGCGGCATATGGTGTATTTAAAAGAAAATGTAAGCAAGCTATATTACATATTGTTTGTCAAATAATACTACAATTATATGTTAACATATATATATATATATATATATATATATATATATATATATATATATATATATATATATATATAATAAATTTACAGAAACCAGCTGGAAAAACCAACAAAAAGAATGAAGCAGGTTCAACCGCAATAGAGGTCTTAATAATTTGGGGAAAATGTAACATACCAACTGTGTTATCAATTCCATTTTTAACAAAGAGAGTTTTTAACCTTTATAAGCAGAACATAAAACTGCAAAAAACTCCAACAAACAGGAAAAACAGAAAAAACAAATTTCAGCTCTACAAGGAAAAACTAGCAAAAGGCGTTGTACTTTGATGGCAAAAAAGACCTAACACTCAAATTTGACAGTAATAAGAGAACCATAGTGATGGAGGAGCACATATCCTTGATTCAGGAACCTGGAGGAGGTTACTGGGGACAATGCACTCCTCTTAGCAAAACAGCTGAATCACTAAAATTTGCAATTATGCAGTATTCTAAAGAGCACAATATTATTTTCGATAGTTTGCAAGTGCTGGGTTGTGATGGAACAAATGTAAATACGGGAAACAAGGGTGGTGTTATCAGATTAATCGAGTTAGAACTTCAACGACCTCTACAATGGATAATTTGTTTGCTACATGCAAATGAGCTTCTACTACGCCATTTGTTTGCAGAGTTAGATGGTCCAACAACTGGTCCTAGATGCTATTCAGGCTTAATTGGAAGGTCCCTTGAAACTTGTGAGGTCTTAAAGGTTGTTGATTTTCAACCTATAAACCATAATGTAGAAATGCCAGAGGTGGACAGAAAGGTGCTCAGTACAGATCAACTTTATCTTTTTGACATCTGCCAAGCAGTATTAAGTAGTATTTGTTCTACCAACCTGGAGAAGCGCAGCCCTGGGAAACTGGCTCATTCTAGGTGGCTCACCACTGCCAATAGGATCCTCAGAATATATGTTTCTACCAGCAGTCCCTTGTCAAATTTGGTAATTTTATTGATGTTCATTAAGCGAGTTTATGCCCCTATGTGGTTCATCATCGAGAAAGAGTCTTCTATATTTCATAGCAGCAGGCATCTGTACAGCACAATTGCAAAATCACGATATCTGCCAGCTCCATTACGTAAAGTAGTAGACAAAGTAATTCAAACAAATCCATTGTTTGGTCATCAAGAGAATATCCTTCTGGCAATGGTATCAGATGATGAGCCACATATCCGAGAATTAGGTGTTAGGCGTATACAGAGAGCTAGAAAAGAAAGAATTATGAAAGCTAACCAATCAAGTGTGCGTCAGTTTAAAATTCCTACTCTGAATTTTATGGCAAATAATACGTGGGAGTTGATTGATTGGAGTAATTTGCAGCTATTGGAGCCACCATTAACAATGCAGCTCACTGACGAGCAGCTGGAAGAGGTAAAAGAGCATCACAGTTACTGTGCCATGCGCAAGCAGTGGCACGGTAACTTATCCAAAATATCAGATAGTAGGATGGTGACAGAAGTTTCCTCATCAGTTTGTGGCGAGATAAATAGAGATGGTATGATACATGTAGAGTTGCAAAAAAACGCGTTTTTTTCCTTTGGCGTTTTTTTGGGTCAAAAAAACGTGTTTTTTTGGTTTTTTTTATGTTTTTTTGGTTTTTTTGGTGTTTTTTTGGTTTTTTTGGTGTTGTATTGCTTTTTTTAAACAATTTTTCAGTTTTTTTTTACATAAATTTAGGACTAGTTTTCCTTTAATCTAGTATAAATTTTAGTATTTGGCCATTAAAGGCACAATTAGATGTATAAACACCAGTTTAACAAAAAAATTTTATAAAAAATTTAAATTAGCTTTAAGTTAGTTATATATTTAGGTATACTGTATGAAAATGTTTATTTTCTGTTTTATTGTACTAACAACTGTGATACTCTCATTATATATAAAAACTATTCTTATTCTATAAAAAAGTAACCATTTTAACTTTGATAATTTAAATACATTAATGTATAACACCATGCAAATTTGATATCAGACTTAAAATGCTCAAAAAAATAAGCTATCTATCAAGATTATTAACTTAATTAAGCATTTGTATATTATGTAGTAATTAAGTCTTACATTGTTTGTTTGTTATATCAAAAAAAGAGTTATTGCTAGTATGCCCATTAAAAAAAAGCCCTATACTGAACTTAGTTTCAAGGAAAATTTAAAAACTTTTTAATTATTATTATTTACGGAAATTCCCAGACCCCATTCACCTGATGATTCGTAATTTATTTATTTGTAATTAATTTTTTAACAGCATTTTTTTTTTTTCTAATTACATTTATTCATCTAAATATTTTCATATAGCACTATATCAGAACACTTGCAAAATTCTTTAATATGCTCTGTTTTTTAAGTTCAATTTTTAGACATAATCTTATGGCAAAAGAATTGTTTATCTTTTTCCATTTTACTAATTTGGTTCAGAGGTTTAATGGGTGACTAAGGCTTTATTTCTGCCCCCTGTATGGAGAGCCTAATCATAATTCTTTTTGTTCTTCCTGTTGATTACCAACAAGAAAAAAAAATTTACTTAATAATTTAAAGATATCCATTTCTCTTTATATATATATATATATATATATATATATATATATATATATATATATATATATATATATATATATATATATATATATATATATATATATATATATATATATATATATATATATATATATATATATATATATGTATGTATATATAGATATTATGGTGCTTTAAAAATCACTACTCAGTGTTAAAGTATTTTTTGTCTTAATCTATTTTTTGTGTTAATCTATTTTTAGATTCTAATTCAGAAAAGATTTATATAAAATTTCTCTTTATTTGAGTAATAAGTTGACTTTTTTAATGTAAACATTTTAGAGACCATTTAAACAATATTAGGGACCTGTTGAATAGAAAATGAGCTTAAGTATGAACTAAATATTGAACAATTAAACTTTAATTAGACTTGAAACTTCAAATTGTGTATCTGGGATTATTAAATCATTTCTTTCTAACTGCTTTATTATAATCATCGTCAAATGCCTACTTATTTATTTCCAGTAACTTCTGGGGTTAATCTCAAGGTTCTATTCTTGGTCTGTTTTGTTTCTTATCTACATTATTGATCTTCCTGACAACCCTACATCTATAGTAGCTCTTTTTGCTGATGACTAAAGTTTTTACTCCTGTCTTGACAAAAAGTCTTCTCTTTTTGATCACTTAGAATAGGCAGCCAATTTTGTATCTGATCTTACATCTGTAACAGATTGGGGCTCACATATTTTAGCATGTAAATTTTATTTCTAACTAAACTCAGTTATTTACTGCAAACAACTACCACAATACTGTTGACATTCCTATATTAATTAATGGTAACCCTCTTACTTAGTCTTCTTTTTTACATCTTCTTGGAATAATATTTGCTACTAACCTTTCATGTACACAAAATATACAATTGATTGCTAAATTAGCATCTCTTTATCATTGTCGTTGTTTTCTTGATTCCATTCTCTACCTCTACAAATATCTTTTTGTCCCTGTATGGAATGTTGTTGTCATATTTGGGCTGGTTCTTCTTATGATGCCCTTTTTCTTCTAAACAAGCTCTATCTGCTAAGCTTGAGCCTCTTTCCCATTGTCGTAAAGTTGCATCTCTTTCTCTTTCCTACAAATTCTATCATGGCGGCTGCTCAAAATAGTTATTACCTCTAGTTCCATTAACAAAAACTCATTCTCGACTCTTTATTATGCTAAGTCTCATTCATTAGTTGTTAAATTTTGTTAAATATAATAAATGTAAATAAATGTTTATTGTGTCAATATACACTAAAAACAGTAAAGATAAAGTTGAGGAAGATAAAATTATCAAAGAAGTTTTTATACAAGACTGCTTCAACCGTGTTAATATACCAAAACAAAAATTAATTCAGTAAATTTCAGTATTTATTGTCCTATTTAAATCAGAAATTAAAATATGAATTAAGATATTGCCATTAAAGTTAAATTTAGTAACTTAAACAATGAATTTTTGATTATTTCCCAAAAAAAACAAAAAAACGGACCCCTATGTTTTTTTTCCAAAAAAACGACCAAAAAAACCAAAAAAACAAGAACCAAAAAAACGCGTCACATCTCTAGATACATGTCTGTCTACAATCTAGGAAGAATATGCCAATATTTAATACCAAGACACATTATAACACACTTTAAACATTTATATGTTTATACTTACGTCAAATAAAAATGCTTTGCAAAAAATTGCAATGATGAGGGGCCTGGGAGCAAAAATACCTCAAACAAATTATCCCCCTACCCCAAATTTGAGGGCAACTAGTTTGCAACATATTTTTTTTAACTTTTCTCAACTCAAATAGAATTCATCAATAAATTTCAATTTTCATGAATTAATCTTGCAAGGCATCCTTATTTGACATAAGTATAAACATATTAGTGTTTAAAGTTTTTTTAAATCTCTAACACCAAAAAATGCTGGATCTGTGCCTGAATTAAATGTGGAAAATTTTGAAACTTTTGGTTTAAAATAGTCCAAAAATTGGTGCTGGGGGTAATTCTTGTTCAATTTTGCTCATCTTAGTCTCATTTTTTTAATTTTTCTATAATTATTATAGAAATCAGGGAGAAAATATGAATTTCTAAAAAAAGTTGTTTTCACTCCACCCTAATATATATATATATATATATATATATATATATATATATATATATATATATATATATATATATATATATATATATATATATATATATATATATATATATATATATATATATATATATATATATATATATATATATAATTATATTTAGATGAATAAAAACAACTGATTAGCGGGACTTAAAGTTTCATGCCCGAAGGCAATCATCAGCCGTTAATACCGTTAATACCGTTAATAATAATAATAATAATAATAATAATATATATATATATATATATATATATATATATATATATATATATATATATATATATATATATATATATATATATATATATACATACACACATACATGCACACACATATGTAACTTACATTGTATAGTTTCCATCTCGAGACCATTTCTTTAATTGCGAAAGACTGTTAATTAAAAATATACCATCACCTTGGGCTTAAACAAAGAAAAAGATCAATAAACAATATCAATAATATAATATTAAATAATAAAAATAATATTCACAATCTCTTTATTTATTAATTATAATAAATAAAGTATTATAATAAATCTTTAATTTTTGATTTATATAGAACTTACATCGGCTGGCTGGTTTCATAATCCATGGTGAAGTAGGACTCTTTCGAAATTCTTCAACAAATAAATTATAATCACTAGGTAATGTAAACGTTGTTGGGATAAAATCTGTAAAATGATAACACTATTATTATGCAATTATACAACATTTAACACAACAATGTAGAAAACAGTGATAAAAAACAAATCAAAGCTGTGTAATAACTAAATTAATCTTCAAGTTATTTCAAAACACAGAGATCAAGTTTTGTTGCATAATAAGTAAGTCGAGTTTGTTAATTTGAATGCACTAGTATTGGAAGTTTAGGTGAGTAATTTTATTAAACTTTAAAATAATAGATGTTTCATTGCTAAGTTATTTAAGCTAAGATGTTTTAAGTTATTAAAAATTAAGGTTTTTGAAAGTAATTAACTATTATTATTATATTATAACAATATTATTATTATATAATATTATTAACTTGATAACTATTATTTTAGGAATTTCTGAATAACATAATTACAAAACAGTTAGACTAATGTTATGCATACAACTTTTTTTTAAATACAGCTGTGCATAAAACCATATTATTTTAATCAAAAAGCATTAAAAAAATACTTTATATTATAGCATATTTTCAATATAAAACTAAAATCCAATATACCAATAAATATTTTAAGTTCAGTGGCACATTAACCAGTCAACTTTATTGATCAACTTATTTATACAATATAATAAATCTATTTAACATGCCTAAATATAAATATTTTCCAGTAACATCTTTTTCTGCATAAAGACTGCCTTCTTTTTCTAAATCTTTTCGATAGCGTTTTATGTTTTTCAGCATCAGATCTTTGCGCGTCAACTCATAATGATTTGGGAAATGATTAATAATTCTAAAATATGTAATTGTAAAAAATAATAATAAAGATATAAAATCATACTATATATATATATATATATATATATATATATATATATATATATATATATATATATATATATATATATATATATATATATATATATATATATATATATATATACACATAGATAGATAGATATAGATATATATTTAGGGTAAATTAGATTAATTTCGTTCAACATTCAGAAAGTTTCATTTATATATATATATATATATATATATATATATATATATATATATATATATATAAATATATATATATATATATATATATATATATATATATATACATATATACATATATATATATATATATATATATATATATATATATATATATATATATATATATATATATATTTAGGGTAAATTAGATTAATTTCGTTCAACATTCAGGAAAGAAACATTTTTTCATGGAATTTTTATTCAATAGATAAAACTTAAAATTTTTTTTCTATAATTAAAAAAAAAAAAAGTTTTATATTTTTATATTTTATATTTTTTATAATTTTTATAAGAAACAACTTTTGATCGGATTTATACATTTTTCAACTAAAGTATAATTAATAAGGCAGTTGTTAAAACTAAAGCTTAAACTCAGTTTTTTACATAAACAAGAAAGCCAGTTAATTGCTAATGGGTCAAATCATTACATTTCAACCAATTTGATGAAAACTTTGTGGGTCATAATTTCTGATTTTTACATATTGTTAGTGCATTATGTAGATAGATTAAACTTGAAATTTCAGACTTCCAATTTCAGAAATTATAGCCTTAGGAACATGACACAGTGGCCCCCTTGATTTACAAATGGTCAAAACAGACTACTTTAGAGCTGTATAACTTTTTTCTCACTTTCAACAAGTGTCTCATCATGTCTTTTTTTAGAACTACTTTTTAGATACTTCTCTCTTTAAAAAAGTTGTTTTCATTAACTTGTATTAAATTAGAGAACAATTATGACATCCTCAACTTTGGAAAAAATCCTAAAATTGCTAAAATATGACTAATTGTAGCATTTTTCTATTCATCCATAAGTCTTTACAAGTAAGTTCTCTGATTAGCTACTAGGGTCTGCAATAAATGGGCAAAATATAGGCAGCATATAATGGCATTTTGCTTTTAGATATATTTGAGTTCCAAACTGCAACATGCTGCCTATATTTTGCCCATTTATTGCAGACTGTAGTAGCTAATCAGAGAACTTATCTGTAGACTTGTGGATAAATGAATGTCTGGAGCAAAAACCATTTAATTAATTAATTGATTTTAAACTTGTATGCTTAATATGTTGAACTTGAATGATGCAATTAATTAAAGTGTTAAGATTACTGTCTGAAAGTCCTTTTTTTATAGATGAATAGAAAAATGCTACAATTAGACATATTCTTCTTTATCATTCTTCATTCTTCTTTATCATCAGAATCCCCCTATCATCGTACATCTTACAACTACCTTAAAGCTGACTGGGACTCTTTCCGTGATTTTCTTCGTGATGGCCCTTGGGTAGAAATCTTTCGTCTTCCTGTTGACAAATGTGCTTCTTACACAACTTCGTGAATTCAGGCTGGCATGGAATCTTTTAGTCCCTCTCAACAATTAAAGGTCAAGCTTCACTCTTCTCCATAGTTTTCCTCACATTGTGCTGCTGCAATTGCCAATCGAAACTATTACTTCCATAACTCTCAGCAAAACAATTCTCCAGAAAACAGACCTCTGTTTATTACTACTAGAAACCATTGTAAAAAGGTTTTGTCTAATGCCAAAACCCGCTATTCTCAGATCAAGAAATCTCGTGTTTCATCACAAAAATTAGCCTCTCGTGACTTCTGGAGAATCTTTAATAGTATCAATAATAAGGGCAAATCTGTAATTCCACCTCTCTTGTATGGTTCAGACTTTGTCACCTCACCTAAAGACAAAGCTGAATTGTTTGCTAAGAGCTTTTCATCAATATCATCTCCTGATGCCACTAGTTGTGTTTTACCTGATATAGCCGTCAAACAGGTTGACCTATTGCTTGACATTTGTATCATTCCAGCTTCTGTATCTAAAGTGATTTCCTGCTTAGACTCTTCTACTGCTTGTGGCCCGAACAACATACCTGTTATAGTCTAGCAGAAGTGTTCTCCAGAGCTGTCATCTATCCTTTCAAAACTATTCAACAAGTACTTATCAGAGTCTTGTTTTCCAGCCTGCTGGAAAGCGGCATCTTTTATCCCTGTTTTTAAAAATTCTGGAGAGCAATCTGATTCGTCTAACTACCGTCCCATTAGTCTTCTTCCTATCATAAGCAAGGTTTTGAATCTTTAATTAACAAACACTTAATCTCTCATCTTGAATCTAATAACTTACTTTCTGATCATTAATATGGATTTGGATCTTCTCATTCTACGGCTGATTTGCTAACAGTATTAACCAATAGGTTTTATTGTGAATTAGATAAAGGTGGAGAAGTTAAGGCCATCGCTCTTGATATTTCTAAAAAGTTTGATAAAGTTTGGCATGCTGGTCTTCTCCATAAACTTTCTTCTTATGGTGTATCTGGAAACATCTTTTAGATTATTGAATCCTTCTTTTCCAATCGTAGTATAAAAGTTGTCCTTGATGGAAAGCACTCTTTTTTTTCAGCCAATCGTTATTGCAATAATTTAGATCTTCCTATATTTATGAACGGTAATGTATTTGATGAGTCATCTACCCTTCATCTTCTAGGATTAACTCTTATTTTTGATCTTTCTTGGAAACCATATATCAAATCCGTTGCAAAATTAGGATGTACTAAAGTTGCTCTTTATCAAGCTTGACACTTTCTTACTCTGGATGCTATTCTCTATCTCTGTAAATCTCAAATCCGGCCTTGTATAGAATACTGTTGCCATATCTGGGGCGGATCTTCTAATGATGCCCTTTCTCTTTTCCACAAGGTGCAAAAACGCATTGTAAACATAGTTGGACCTATTCTTACAGCCAACCTTCAACCATTATCACATCGTGGTAATGTTGCTTCTCTTTCTCTTTTCTACAAGTGCTATAATGGGCACTGCTCTAAAGAGCTAGCGCCTCTTGTGCTATCTACTAAAATTCATTCTTGCATTACTCGTCATTCAAATAAGTCTCATCCTTTTTGACTGTTCCTAAGTGCTTAAAAAACTCTTATTCTTCTAGTTTTTTTCCTTGAACATCAGTTCTTTGGAAATCGCTTCCTTCATCTTGCTTTCCTGATTTATATAACTTGCAATCTTTTAAGTCGTCTGTCAATCCCTATCTTGCTCTACAATCATCTTTTCTCTTCCAGTAACTTCCAACTCTAATTAGTGGTTGCTTGCAGCCTTGTTGGAAGCGAAGATGTTTAAATAAAAAATAAAAAAATAAAATAATATTTTTACAATTCTAGGATTTTTTCCAAAGTTGAGGTCATAATTTTTGTTTGATTTAATACAAGTTAATAAAAACAACTTTTTTAAAGAGAGAAACAACTTTTTTAAAGAGAGAAATATCTAGAAAATAGTTCTAGAAAAAATGAGACACTTGTTGAAAGAGAGAAAAAAGTTATACAGCTCTAAAGTAGTCTGTTTTGACCATTTGTAAATCAAGGGGGGCCACTGTGTCATGTTTCTAAGGCTATAATTTCTGAACCATTGTACTTGAAAGTCTGAAACTTCAAATTTAACCTATCTACATAACGCACATAACAATATGTAAAAATCAGGATCAGTGATTGTGACCCACAAAAATTTTATCAAACTGGTTGAAATATAATTATTTGACCCTAATGTCAGTTAATTTAAAGAAAATAAAGTGGACACGTCTGCAAAATATCAAAGACTGAAGACAAACCAATTATACTCTCATGTAAACAAAATAGACAATTAACAGCCCAAGAAATAACATCTAACTTCAATGCTGCTCATAATAAAACTATTTCAGAAAGAACTGTAAGACACTTAAAAACTGTTACCTTAAATGGTAGAGTAGCTGTTCGAAAACCTCTTTTAAAAGCAATAAATCACAAAAAGAGGTTTCAATGAGTTCTAGAATATTCAAATTGGACAGATATAGACTGGTGAAATGTATTGTGTATGGACTAATCCAAATTTCTTGTTTTTAAAACAAAGCGACAGATCTATGCAACAAACAGCTACTAAAAAATTTCATCCACTGTGTATACAGCCTACTATCAAACATGGTGGAGGTTCAGTAATAGTGTGGGGCTGTTTGGCTTCTAATCAGGTTGGTAATCTCATGAAAATAAATGGAATTCTCAATAAGAATGGATATCATAAGATAT